TTGATGACAGCGATATATGGATGACGTAGTAATGAATCAGTACTGCGCTGTGACACATTATCACAGTGTCGGGTGTCACCTGGGGCCGGATACTCAAAACACCTCATAAGTTACGTCTTTTAGCATGATACAGTACCGTAAATTTAGCATACTCAAAATTTAACTACAGTTCCGTAAGCCTTTCGTAAGTTTTCATAACTCTAGTGTTTGGTTTGTAAATTAAGTTCTCTTGTCGGAAGGTAGATGTCAGTGTAAGAGCTAGTTGGCCAATCAGCGCTCAGTTAACAAAATCATCAACCAATCACAAGAGAAGGAGAAATCAGCTGAGAGCGACGCACATAATATTATTTTGTAAACATGGAAGGACCACCAGCCAAGAAGAGACGGCCTAATTTCAGTGAGGCTGAAGTATACGCTATTCTGGGCAAATTCAAATAAATTGGTTATTGATAGCATAGCCTTGCCGAACGTAAATGACAAATCACTTCTCTTAAATTACTCATTTAGCCTAGACCCTGGTGTTTTCCTTTCAATGTTGGGGACATTTGGTCTGAATTGTCTTCAAGTTCATACAAAAAACAACAATTTAAAACCTGAAAATATATCGGATTAGCCGTAAATTTTCTTAAATTAATACTCTACCTATGATAATGTTCAAGGAAAGTCTGGAACTAGGCCTAAGGTAGCTGCTAGACAAAGTGTCTCACTGACGGCCTGACGCTCACCAAAAAACCATGTACACATTCTCTAACCTAACATACCATAACATAACATAACATAACCAAACCAAACCTATCTAACCTATACCCTATTAGTATAATTTCTTATTTAAATAATCCTCATGTTCTAACTAAATTAAGTAGGCCCCATGTTTAAACATTTATTTGCCTAAGACTGAAAAAGCAGTTATATAGGCCCCTATTAATCAAGTTAATTGCAATCCATATTTTACGCCTAATATCATTTAATTTTGGCTAGCCTATGGAAATTTATAGCCTTTCATGTTATTATAAGCCATATACATAAGAAAATAGGCTAAGGCTATTGGTTGAATATTAGAAAAACAAGGCGAAGTCTTGGCAGGAATGTTCACTTGACCTCATATTGGCTTTCATTACTGAGGGATATTTACGGCTATACAACATTAATAAGTTCTATCTGCAAGTTTACTCAGTCATAAAACATATTTTTACCCTAAGTGTGAACAATACAAACCTTCTGTTTTGGTAAAAAATACTTTATAATGTGTAAGAAGACAAAAGATGCGTCTCTTCCAAACTGAGACCAATACAAACACTCAAGCCTCTTATTATGGCAACAAAAAAGTTACGAAAAAGACAAAGTGAAATATTATATTTCAGTATGCTGATGTACAAAACATTTTCTTCATTATTCTATGATAAAACAAGTCTAACAAGCATTATTACAACATATACTATTATTATTTTTTATACAATCGGGAATTAGTCACTACTATATCCGGGTTGAGAGTGTTACACAACCTCAGGAGCTGGTGTAAGTTACGGGCTTTAACTTACGGAGTTCAATGTCAAATATTTGTTTTGAGTATACCAACTGTGTTTTGAGTATACCATCTGTGTTTTGAGTATGCCAATCTGAGACTGTAAGTCCAGTTACGGGGTACACAACGACATACAGTCCCATAAATGTTTTTGAGTATCCGGCCCCTGGTCTCCGCTACCAACACCCCGTATGAGGAAGGTGTGCCTGTAAGTTCACCTTGTTGACAGGTGGGCGTGCCTCCGGTGGCTATATCCAGGCTTGGGTTTACTTGCCCTAACAGCCACTACCGGTGTGAGTCAGGGCTCCTGCACGCCGTGGTTTACCTGGCTCGCCCCACACAGGTAAACACACAAGTATACAACCATTCCTGTGCCGAGAGTGAAGGAGCGGGCGTCAGGTAAACTGCTGAACCAATGTGGTGTAATGATTCACTCTGTCTCTACCTGGGCAGCAGAGGGGTGTGTGTGGGGGATCCACAAATTATCTTAGATTTTTTGTGTTGGAAACCCCCCCCCATCCACTCCCCGCACTGGTGACGTCACATTACACCACGATATTATTAAGATGTTGTCCTAAATGGCATTGAAAGTGTAGTGAGACTCTACCTGGAGTTAGTTCCTGGGGGATCCTGTGTACTCCTCACACCTTGATATGCGACGAAGCCTCTCAGCTGACTTATCTGATCACTGCAATAGTTGCTACTGGCCACCCGCGACCCAGGCTGCAGGTGGGCTCTTGAGCACCCATCCACACCTAACCTAACCTAACCTAACCTAGTCCCCCCAGGTAGCTTTAGGATATCTAATAAGCTGGAAACAGAGCAGTGGATGAATGGAACAAGTTACCAAATATCATCATTAACTCGAATACGCTGGATAGCTTCAAACACAGGTTGGATGCTTATATGAGCAATAGGGGTTGGGTGTAAACGGGACTGCCCAGTATGGGTCAATAGGCCCGCCGCAGTTTCCTCCATTCTTATGTTCTTATGTTCTTATGATCTGACCTGAGTGAGTCAGCGCCCGTGTCCTGCAGAGGTGATCACAGTGCTCGTTGTATTTACTAAAAAAGAAGGAAAAAAAATGGGGGTATTTGTTTATTAGAGGAAAAAAAAACAGGGAATAACCGGGCAGGGAGGCTGGCGAGGATTTAGGTAAGCGAGGTGAAGAGCACAACCCATTAAGGTGAAGAGGGCGTCAAATAGCACCTGGATTATTGTCCCGTCACGGCCATACACTCACCTGTCACCTGTTTGTTGATTCATCTTAATTGTTTTTGCTTGGTGAAGACTCGTAGCTCGCCTGTTTCTTGATTCACTTTAATTGTTTTTGTTAGGTGAAGACTCATTATGCTCCCAGGGTGTACAGTATTTGGGACAATATAGTGATAAACTTAACTGAATCATAACTGTGGCAGCGACTTAGTGTATTCTTCACAAATTAATTAACCAGTGATGAATCTTTCCCTCATAGTCCAAATATTTTCGAAACATATTATCCTGAATCGTTCTGACTCACCGAGAGTTTCTGGTACTGATGGGTAATATTTAAGTTCACCTGGGCACTACATCCGCGCTGGAAGGAAATGTCTGTCTATCTCGGGCGAAAGTCCAGCCCGTCAACAGAGACTTTATCCCCTCTCATAGCGGAGAACCACCTGGTTAAAGTCACCATTATCCTGTCCGCAAAAACCCAAACGAGGTACTTTATTGACAGGTAAATTAGACGTGTGAGTGCGTGGCCAGACGTTTAGCTCACCTACCACGTAACAACACCTGTCTCACCGCCTCCCTCCCCCCCCCCCACACCTGTTCTTTGGGGGTAAGGGAGAGGGATGGTGTAGTGAGGAATTCTTAGAAATAATTAGATTTATCCCTTGATCATTTTGCTCCCTCCTCCCACATCCTCATTCTTCCTCCCCTCATTCTTCCTCCCCTTCTCTTCTCCCTCATTCATTCTCCTCCCTCATCTATTCTCCTCCCTCATCCATTCTCCCCCTCATCCATTCCCTCCTTCCTCCTTTCCCTCTTCCTCCTCCTCCTTTCCCCATCTCCCTCCCCATCTCCACCCTCCTCTTCCTCCCAGTACGACAAGAACAAGGCTGGGGAAGGGAGGGTCACCGGCGGTCTTACCTTATCTGATTTGCTTTTATATAGTATGTCCTCCTCCTCCCTACCCCTCCTCCTCCCTCCTTCTCCCCATCCTTCTCCTCCTCATCCGCTCCATCCCCTCTCCCTCCTGCTCCCCATCCCCTTTTCATCTTCTTTAACTAAAAGGTCCCACCTACTAATTGACTCCCCCTCTTGCCCCATTTGCTACCTAACCACCCCTCCCTATCCTCCATTCTCCTCCACTCTTTATATTTACTCCCTCTTTATCACCTGGTTTGATCTCCACCTATCACTCAGTATCTACTAAACACCACTCTTATCTCTCTACGTCACTCACCCTCTACCTGCCTTTCTTCTCCTACCTCCACCCCCCCCTGCTGGCCTTCTCTCTCGACCCCTTTCATTACTTCATTACTTGCCTCTTCATCCGGTGATCTATTTATGTAGGTACTCCTCAAACTCTCCCTCCCTCTCTCTCTCGTACACTAAATCATTATCTGCAGTCATCATTTGTGTGTGTGTGTGTGTGTGTGTGTGTGTGTGTGTGTGTAAAATAGCGACCTGTGGTGTAATGGTCAACACGCTCGCATCGCAAGCGAGCGGACCCGAGTTCGATCTCCGGGCAGGGTGAAACTACGGCAAGTTTCTTTACGCCTTTTGCCTCTGTCTACCCAGCAGTAATTGGGAACCTATAAGTTAATCGATTTGCGGATCGTGTTCTGGAGTAGTGGTTAGCAGTGCAGTTGACGAGCTGTCCGGTCTTCTCGGACTATTCCTTGACACTGGGTCATGCAGCTCGTTAACTCAGGGTGTGGTTGTTGTGTTGGCGACAGCTTCTACCCTTTAAACAAATTCACGCCTAGGTGGCCCTAGAGCCGGCCATCCTCGTTACACGAGGGGCGACCATTATTTATTTAATAGCACTACACTGTCCTATACTCAAGCTCCAACAGTACACTGACTTACTTACCCATACTACATTGTACTGCACCTACACTACCGCACTGTGTTGCACTTCGGTATGGCACAGTGCACTCAGCTACATTCGCCTACAGCTTAGTTAACAAGTGTTCGGTATAAGCCATTTGGAGTCGTCTTGTATTTAGAGCAGGCACCTTGTATTACATCTTTTGTTCTGGCCACTGCAGGTGTGTGGGGGGTCCTTTTCGTGCCTTGGTTATGAAGCATTTATTTAGTTTTCAGTTGTTTATTTAATACTCTTGGAGGTCTTGCTTTTGAGTGAGTGGTTAGCTGGCCGTAAGAGACGATGTCATTGTTCATACGCCCGTGACGTGGTCTTGTGTTTGATGTGTGTTAACCTGAGGTATAATTCACCATCCATTCACTAGTGTTATTCGTCATGCAGGTGTATCTTCAGTGGAATTTATAAGTTGAAAGTTTGAGGAGAGAAAGTGATCAGTGGTGAGAGACAAAAAATTTCCTGAGAACCAATACGGAAATAATAACAAGTGTGGAAGAAACTGGTTATACTCGTGAGCCGCGACGGAACAAGTTGTTGGCTAGCTCACAGCTGGCGACGCCACGGTGGCTCAGGTAACTCCACACGCCAGGGAGGACGCGCCCACGCCTTGCCCAAACGACCCACGCCTCGCCCAAATGATCCACGCCTCACCTACACGGCCAGCTGTCTGACCCTACAGCATCCACAGCCCTCCCTGCGCCCTTTACACCCCCGTCCCACGAAGCCAACACCCTACCTGTGCAACCCAAACCCATCCCACACAACCCACAACCCGCTTACACAGCCCATACAACCCACACCTTGCCCATTCATCCTACACTTTACCCAAGCTCACAAAACATCCTTGACGGATAGGGGTGAGCATCCCCTCCTCAAGTCTTACAACCTTGTAAACAAAACATCCCCAGCAGGACCTGAGGATGTAGAGCACCTGGGGCTGAGGCGAGGGATGTGGAGGGGTATGTGTGGCGAGTATTGGTGATGGTGGTGGCGAGTATCGTTGGTGATGGTGGTGGTGCTGGCCAGCTGTGGCGACTACGCCTCCGTCTGGGACTCCGCCTCGCTCTCTTCGGGGGCGTCTTATGCTGAGATCGTCGACTCCCAGGTAATTGTGTTCACTGTCTTGGTACACCTGTGTGTGTTATGTGCTGATGTATGTTATGTATGTTGGCTTCTTGTCACACAACCACTACATGTGTATAGTTGTATGCTCACGTATGCTGTGTGGCACGGCACACACCGCATGCTTAACTCTCTTCAATATAGATATTTTTGTGTAAGTCAGGTACGTTTGCCTTAATAAGTCAAATTTTTCACACTCAAAAAAGTCGTCAGTCAGACTTTCATTAACTGCTATGGTGTATCTGTGTATATGTGTGTGTCTGTGTATAGTTTACAACTTTATTGTTTCTCGATATACAGATGAATATATGTAATGTTATTAGTGTGTAGGACCGACTTGTTTACAAATCATCGTTGGTCATGATCACGCCACCAAGAGACTAGCACAGTGTTGTTATGTGTTGCATGTTGTTGCAGTCACTGTGCATCATGCACCAGTCAATACAGACATTAAAATACTATTCTAATCTTAATAAAGTAACGGACGTGCACAGTCTCTGGGAAGATGACCGTGTATAACTTCATGCTGGGACAACATTACTGTGTGTGTGATGCATCAGTAGCCAACACTGAAATAAGGCTCACGTTTATTTATACAAGGATTTCAGAAGTAAGCATGCAGATATATATGTAAAGCTTGTTCGTGTAGACTGTACTGTACTGTACTGTACTGTACTGTACTGTACTGTACTGTACACGAGGAAGGTGTGTGGGGGTGTGTACACGACGCGACACCCAGCATGTGATGCACTTAAAGCACTCAATGTGTAGGTCATTAGTGATATATATATAACATTAATTTGCTTGTGATTTACTCCAACTTTTTTTTTTGCAGATTATTTATGATTAATATATAATTTATTGCTTGTGTTGTCTTATAAACAGTTTGTTTGCAGATAACTTTTAAATTTGTTTGTAATGCTCTCTAAACACTGTTTTCAGGTGACTTCTAATTGTTTGTGAGTTTGTGTGTTATGATCACTTTAAACTATGTTCCCTGCTGCTGTCTTGCACTTTATAAAACTTAACATTTAGTGTTGCTGATGTATGATTGTAATGAGTGATGCAGTGTTGAGGGAGGGTAAGATTACTGACCATAACGTAGAGTTGATGTTGTCGTTGGAGCACTACAGTAAGTTTATAGTGAGGAGTGTGTTGTGGCGGTGTGTTGTGGCGGTGAGTTGTGTAGCTCAGCGGATGTGAGTTATGAGGGAAGATTGAAGAACATCTAAAGAAACGGCAAAGTTGGCTTCTTTTATTATTATTATTATTATTATTATTATTATTATTATTATTATTATTATTATTATTATTATTATTATTACTGAAACAAGTAGTAAGGTATCTATAGCAATATATTACGTATTGTATTGTGTCTGGACCAGCATTGTCTCGTATGATGGAAGGAGAGAGTGAACGGGTCTATTTTCCCATCATTACCTGCAGGGAGAACAATCGAGGTCACTACACGGAAAGACATAACATAATACAATAAGAACCAGCGTAAGGAACTACACTGTGTCATCACTCGGTGGGGGCCAGAGACTTAAAGGTTATAGAGGGTCGGGCTGTCGTGGCGTCTTAGAACTTATTATAAAGACAAACTCAGACCAGAATACTTAATATAACCAAATTTATAAATTCATCTCAGGTTCTTGTTCAAGCAAGTCAACTCTGGTTTAATGGTGTTGTATTGTATTCACGCTGGAACTAAGGGCGGGTAATTTTCAACGCCCACATAATTGGATAGAGAACGAGGAAGGCTGTGTGCGATGTGCATGTTGGGCGGCCCACTATAGTGGTCCTCACACCCATGGCTCTTGTTCCCCCTTCTTGTTGTCCCCTCCCACCTCACGCTGGGGATGCTCTCCGGCCCACACTCTGCTAGTCAGGGTCATGGACTTGTGGCCACTCGCCCATGTTTGTGGTTACTACCTAGGTCATTACTGCACTGAGATGGCTGTCATGTTTTTTTGCAGTAGGTCGGTCACCACCAAGCGTGTACTGTTACCTGGCTGGTGTGTTGTCTGAGGATGGTCATAGCAGGAAGGGATGTATAAGATGTAGGCGTGAGTGTAGGTGACGTGGCTTAGGTCTTCCCACCAATCAGTAGCACCACGTTGCACAGAGGAGCTCAGAGCTCATCTACCTTTGGTGTTAAAGCTCCCTCGTCCACCACCCTACACACACACAGTACCCTGCCCACCTCGTGCAGTCCGCCACTACAACAAAATTCAGCCCATAAGAGCCCACAATGAGAAATATAAGAATAGCACCATCCCATCTATTGTTAAAATAATAAACAACAACTGATTTATGTACTGTACAGTCCTGTAAATGTACTGAACGTATATTATTATGTCTAAATCACATGTAAGTTTGTATATTTTCAGCCACCGGCTGCAACTCTATTAATAAACCGTTTATTATTATTATTATTATTATTATTATTATTATTATTATTATTATTATTATTATTATTATTATCACACACTGTTTATTTGATATATAACTTGTTAGGAGATCAAGGCCAATTCAGGCACTCGACCATGGCCGAAGAAGACGAGGAGGTATTAGAGTCTAATACCTCCTCGTCTTCTTCGGCCATGGTCGAAGTGGTTCTCAACCTGGGCCATGGCCCCCAAGGGAGCCACGGCAAGAATTTAGGGGAGCCACGGCGAGCTGTTATAAATTGTACGTTTCCAAATAATGTTGTGAATCGGAATTAAACAAAACTTGTATTACTTATTTTGACTTGGCAGAAGAGAATTTTCATTCTTTTTTTGTCATTTGGTTTAATTATAACGACAATACCATTTTAATATTTACATACTCTGGTGCTATTTATTTTTTTTATTTTTTTACGGATTATTTAAGATTTCACAGGTCCAGTCCCTGTCTGTGTAACAGGCGCTGGACCGAGCTGCTGAACTGACTTGTTCAGTACGTGTCCGTGTGTCATCCCTTTGCAAGTGGTGATAAGACCGAATGATCTCAGTCTGGCCAGGGATACCATCACGAAAACAGTGGAGCGTATTGTCTCTGAACCATATATTGTGTTTGAGCTTGACTCAAGCATAATATACTCCGTAATTGGTGTTACTTATTTTGTTTCATAATTCATGTGGTCGCTGTTTTACGTGGGTGAAATATTTGTACACTTCTTTTATTAATTATTTCCTTATTTATTGGTGCCATTGTTGTTCATACTCATTCTTCACTTATATAATCCTACCATTTTTAGTGCTAAATTGGTATGACTCACTATTCTTACCATTCTTCCAAGTTGGGCAGTGCTTGTCAAAGGAGGCGTGTTCTTGCTTACAGGAAGTACACTTCAGCTTACCTGTGTGCATGTTTGTGTATGACTGTATATGTGCTTTATGTGTGAGTGCATGGGCGTGTTATGTATGTGAATGTGTGTGTGTGTGTGTTTGCCATTCTAACTCTTGTCCTATTTATCTGTCCTTCTTTATCATTCTTTAGTCTTTATCACTTGTCTGTTTGTCTGTTCTGGGAGAAAAATGAAGGAGGCCACGAGGATGTTGAAAATTCCTCAAGGGGGGAATGGAGTGAAAAAGGTTGAGAACCTCTAAGACAATAGATAATGAGGCTTACTGAAGCCTGTGGGTCATGAGGAGTGTTGACTATGGTGTTGATATGGTGGCTGAGAACAACGTGGAATCAAGAATATAAAAGTTAATTTAAGAATCTATATAATATTCCATTCCCGAAGATAAGCTCCTTGTACTGATAAACTGTGGAAGCTTGTTTACTTAAATGTTGTTGTGTATTGTGAGGAAACATCTGCCGGGGTAATAGAATATGAAGGCACACAACACCACGACTCAGAGAGGGAGAAGCTTAAGTCCTTAAGCCGGACAATACATAAGGCTTGAGGGTTAGGTTAGGACCTTGTGTGTCGCTGAACCACCGGGTTTTATCCCCATACGGTAGTAGTGCACCAAACATGGGCGGATGGAAGAGATTTGTGATGAAAAGTTTATTGTATGTTAGAGAGCAGTTGCAAAACCCGCGTGTGGTGCTGTGTGGTGCGCTGCGGCCAGGAAATCCGGGAATTCATCGCGTGCTGACGGAGGGCCACCAGGGAAATAATTTCCTCACTATTACCCTGAAAAATATCCACTTCTTTAATGCTTACGCAGGATTTTGAACTCCTGAGGTGAATTTTAATTTACTAAGACAGACAAAAGCGTAGATGTTTCAAACAGATATGACTTAGATACATTCCTGCCCACAGACATAAAAACTCTATTAATATAGATACATGCACATAAATATAAACCCAAGTATAGATATTAGTTTACACACATACATAAATACATACGAGTACATACATTAGTATTCGGTTTAATGTGAGAAATCGCCTGTTAGCGTAGTGCCTTTTAGTGCAACAACGCTCCGGGGATAACGTGACTTAGCGTCGGAATGTTACAGTACCATGGAGATACTGACTGAGGTTCAGCCTTATCACTACTCATCATGTCCTTGTCTCCTCCCCGATATGTTGGAGACGTCCGGTACTTTGTAAGGGTGGAGGTGCGGGTCTTGCTGGAGGGGCGGAGGGAAGTGGCTGGTAGCAGCATACATATGACCCTCCTTCCTTCCCTCCCCTTTATGCAACCTTCCCTCCTTTCCTCCATCCATGTCACCCTCTCTCCTTTCCCTCCTCTATGCCACCCCGCCCTTCCATTCATTCCATCCTCCTATACCACCCTCCCTCCCTCTATACCACCCTCCATACCCCCCGCCATGTCACTCTCCCTCCCTCCCTATATCAAACACTCTCTCCACGCCGCCACCCTCCAACTCCTCATGGGACAAGCACTAATAGTTATGTGGTGGTCGTGCTCAGTGTCGTAGCGGCGTCACCAGGGGTAAACACTTGTCTCCCGTTTCTTTATGATTTCAACTCCTCCTCTCCTCTCTATTACCACCACTTGGTCTTTTTGTTGTTGTGACGACTCTTGCAGTAGTTGGCTGTGATTTGGTCCCGCCCTCTATTATTATTGTTATATTTTTTGGTAGGTGTTGTAAAAGCTCTTTCAGGTTTCCGGTGTTTATTGTTATTGCTTCTTTGTGTGTGTGTGTGTGTGTATGTGTGTGTGTGTGTGTGTGTGTGTGTGTGTGTGTGTTATCACTACCGTGTCTGTTTCCTGTTCTTTGTATCGTTTTCTTTCGCCTTCGTTATATTTGTCTTTTCATTTTTAATCTTGTGTTAACTTATATTATTCCCTGCTTGTGTCGCCATTATCTCTCTCTCTCTCTCTCTCCTTGTCACTGTTAACCCTCACCACCACTCTCGTCACAGTTCTTGTCATTATGGTTTCAGTAACTGACAGGCGTCATTATTTTTACTTTTGGTTAATGTCGTTAGTCATTGCGTTATTACCGTAGTTATCATGAAGGTCATCTATGTCACGAAGGTCATCTGTGTCATGAAGGTCATCTGTGCCACGAAGGTCATCTGTGTCATGAAGGTTATCTGTGCCACGAAGGTCATCTGTGCCATGAAGGTCATCTGTGTCACGAAGGTCATCTGTTTCATGAAGGTCATCTGTCACGAAAGTTATCTGTGTCACGAAGGTCATCTGTTTCACGAAGGTCATCTGTGTCACGAAGGTCATCTTTTCATGAAGGTCATCTGTGTCATGGAGGTCATCTGTGTCACGAAGGTCATCTGTGTCACGAAGGTCATCTGTGTCACGAAGGTCATTGCCAAGGTCATCTGTGTCATGAAGGTCATCTGTGTCACGAAGGTCATCTATGTCATGAAGGTCATCTATGTCATGAAGGTCATCTATGTCATGAAGGTCATCTGTGTCATGAAGGTCATCTATGTCATGAAGGTCATCTATGTCATGAAGGTCATCTGTGTCACGAAGGTCATCTGTGTCATGAAGGTCATCTGTGTCAGAGGGTCATCTGTGTCATGAAGGTCATCTGTGTTACGAAGGTCATTGTGTCACGAAGGTCATCTGTGTCATGAAGTGTCTCTGTGTCACGAAGGTCATCTGTGTCATGAAGGTCATCTGTGTCACGAAGGTCATCTGTGTCACGAGGTCATCTGTGTCATGAAGGTCATCTGTGTCACGAAGGTCATCTGTGTCACGAAGGTCATCTGTGTCACGAAGGTCATCTGTGTCATGAAGGTCATCTGTGTTACGAAGGTCATCTATGTCATGAAGGTCATCTGTGTCATGAAGGTCATCTGTGTCACGAAGGTCATCTGTGTCACGAAGGTCATCTGTGTCACGAAGGTCATCTGTGTCATGAAGGTCATCTGTGTCACGAAGGTCATCTGTGTCATCAAAGTCACTCCTGTCAAGGTCGTCTCTATCGTCAAGGTCATCCATTTAAATGTCATCTTTGCCATCAGTGTCACCTACTTAAAGTTTATCTACATCAGTAAGGTAGAGACCTGCCAGGTGTTGTACAGTGGCGGACGAGGACATACGCTGCTTCAAGCAACCATTGTGTGTGTTGACAGAGCGAAGATCCGGTGGCCAAGGATACACATTTTGGCAGTTTCTTTTAAATGTGAACCTGAACTGAACCATCATAAATAACGTTAGTTAGTGTTGAAGATACTTTGTTGTTGTTATAATGTTATTACTGCGCTGTAACAAGGATAGTAATTACACTGTTACATCAACAATTTAAATATATGAGTGATAAAACTCTTAAGTTTGAAGATATGTCCTTACCCGAGTCTCTAGTCTGAAAGTTTATGTCCAATTTTAATGTTTTAATTTGGGAAATATAATGACTGCGATATTTACCACAAACGTAAATTGTAGTTAATTTTTGTGATCAGTTTTTCATTTGTATATTTTTTGTAAAGTCAGGGTTTGAATACAACTTGAGATTATATACACAAATGAGGCGGTTTCCTTTAAACAGGAATATTGAGGTTAATTGAGACATGTCCTGTTAGTTTAGTTCGTTCTTACATGTCAGTAGGACGGATCCCAACGCGTGTGAGGGCAGTTTCTGACGTTGATTTTGCCGAAGATTCACCTTTAAGTTTATGTTTAAAAAGGAGCAATAATAAATATATATTATTTTTTGACAAATTATTGAACTTGAAAATTAAATTCAGAGGGAAGTTACGTTTAACAAGGTGTAAGTTCAGTTTACTGTAGTTAGGGTTGAGAGCCTCGGCGTGACCAGAGAAAACCTGTGGTGATAGAAAATGTACACCAATAGGGATGACTTATACAAAACAAATATATTCCTGGCCAAAGAAAATTGTGTTTAATATGTACCTTAAATATTTTTTGTTGTTGTTGTTTTTTAGTAATTTTAATGAAATGGAATACAAATGAAACTCGTAAAGTAAATGTAATACAATAAATGGCTTACGTAGGAAAATAATTTAGCGTATAAAATATTTGCCTTATTTCTCTTGCTTATGAAGTGTAGTTCAGTATATATTTACATTAAGAATTTGGTTTAAGTTCCTACTACAAGTGTAGGCTTGTGTACATGTACAGTAAAAGTGTTTAAATACAACAGATATATGATAACGCGAGAGCCTAGAATTTAGTTGTAACGGCATACGGCACAAACCAACCAGAACTAAACCTAACCAATCTAACCTGACCATTTTAAAACTACTGTAACATATGATTTGGTTAGGTTTGGATGAGTTACGTTAGGTTTGGTTTGTCCATGTTGTGTGTAATTATGAACGAGATGCACCATGGCCCCTTACCCATCTGCCTTTGTTGTAGATACTGTAGAGGGACGAGCAAGAGAGAGAGTAATTAGTTATAATTTGTATTGGAATCAACATACTTTACAATGGTCCTGAACCCAAACTGTATATAGTATTATGTTTGTACCTTCAGTGTCAGACTCCAGTTAATACCTCCAGTGTCAGACTCCAGTTAATACCTCCAGTGTCAGACTCCAGTTAATACCTCCAGTGTCAGACTCCAGTTAATACCTTCAGTGTCAGATTCCAGTTAATACCTCCAGTGTCAGACTCCAGTTAATACCTACAGTGTCAGACTCCAGTTAATACCTCCAGTGTCAGACTCCAGTTAATACCTCCAGTGTCAGACTCCAGTTAATACCTTCTGTGCCAGATTCCAGTTAATACCTCCAGTGTCAGACTCCAGTTAATACCTTCAGTGTCAGATTCCAGTTAATACCTCCAGTTAATACCTCCGGTGTCAGACTCCAGTAATACCTCCAGTGTCAGACTCCATTTAATACCTCCAGTGTCAGACTCCAATTATCACCTTTCAGTGTCAGACTCCAGTTATTACCTCCAGTGTCAGACTCCAGTTAATACCTCCCAGTGTCAGACTCCAGTTAATACCTTCTGTCAGATCTGTGTTAATACCTTCAGTGTCAGACTCCAGTTAATATCCAGTGTCAGACTCCAGTTAATACCTTCAGTGTCAGACTCCAGTTAATACCTCCAGTGTCAGACTCCAGTTAATACCTTCAGTGTCAGACTCCAGTTAATACTTCCAGTGCCAGACTCCAGTTAATACCTTCAGTGTCAGACTCCAGTTAATACCTTCAGTGTCAGACTTCAGTTAATACCTCCAGTGTCAGATTCCAGTTAATACCTCCAGTGTCAGACTCCAGTTAATACCTCCAGTGTCAGACTCCAGTTAATACCTCCAGTGTCAGACTCCAGTTAATACCTCCAGTGTCAGACTCCAGTTAATAACTCCAGTGTCAGACTCCAGCAGTGTTAACACCTCCAGTGTCAGACTCCAGTTAATACTCCAGTGTCAGACTCAGTTAATACCTCCAGTGTCAGACTCCAGTTATTACCTCCAGTGCCAGACTCCAGTTAATACCTCCAGTGCCAGACTCCATTTAACACCTCCAGTGTCAGACTCCAGTTAATACCTCCAGTGTCAGACTCCAGTTATTACCTCCAGTGTCAGACTCCAGTTACACCTCCAGTGCCAGACTCCAGTTAATACCTCCAGTGTCAGACTCCAGTTATTACCTCCAGTGTCAGACTCCAGTTATTACCTCCAGTGTCAGACTCCAGTTAATACCTTCAGTGTCAGACTCCAGTTAATACCTTCAGTGTCAGACTTCAGTTAATACCTCCAGTGTCAGATTCCAGTTAATACCTCCAGTGTCAGACTCCAGTTATTACCTCCAGTGTCAGACTCCAGTTAATACCTCCAGTGCCAGACTCCAGTGTCAGACCCCAGTTAATACCCTCAGTGCCAGATTCCAGTTAATACCTCCAGTGCCAGACCCCAGTTAATACCTCCAGTGTCAGACTCCAGTTAATACCTCCAGTGTCAGACTCCAGTTAATACCTTCAGTGCCAGACTCCAGTTAATACCTCCAGTGCCAGACCCCAGTTAACACCTCCAGTGCCAGGCTCCTCCCCAGTGGCAGTCATCATCGTGCCGTGACAATGATACGTGGCTCTGACAGGCAGACCCATTGTGTAGTGTTTACCTCGGCGTCAGCGCCCCCTGCTGGGATCTGTCATAGTTGTGTGCTGGGTTACACCTTCTTGATTGTTTACAATGGTCGCAGATTGTGGTAATGCTGAGTAATGGTCCAAGTGTGTGTGTGTGTGTGTGTGCGCGCGCTGGCGTGCATGCGTGCGTGCGTGTGTGCCCTTGCCACCGACAACCCCTGACATACACCAACCCTGTCACCCAATAACCCTGCCACCCACAACCCATGTCACCCACAACCCACGTCACCCACATTCCCTGCTCCCCACAACCTCCTGGCAGCATAACCCATAACAACCACCTCCACAAGTCTCCCCACCACCTCCTCAGCCTCCTTCCCCCCCAACATCAACCCCATACAAACCTCCCCACCCCTCTGCCTCCCTTTACCCTCCACCACCCTTGTCAACCTTTAAGCCAACAGCAAGTAGCCATCAAGGTCCCACCAGAGTATACTCAAGCATCTCTGGCAGGCGTGTATCAGTCCCACCCACGACTTGGTGCCTTCCTCTTCCTCCCCTTTCTCCTCGTCCTCCTCCTCCTTCAGCGTGTATGGTGCTCTCAGCTTACCCGCCAGGAGAATGTAGATAAAGTTGGGATGTAATAATTCAAGTTTACAGTGGCACTATCTACTGAGGGCACATACCTCCTTCAGTCGCTTGAGTCTGAACCAGCCGACCAAGAGAGACGAGGAGCATTGAAATACTTGACGTGAGGAGGACTGTTTGAATCACTAGCTTTGGTTTCGAATCACCTGAATGTTAGGCATCTTAGCCTTTTTTCACGAGAAATTTTAACTCCCTAACACAAACCTAAACAAGCCCAGCCCAGCCCAGCCCAACTCAACCCAACCCAACCCAACCCAACCCAACCCAAGCCAACCTTACCTTACATAACCTAACCTCGCCCCACTAGGTTAGGTTAGGGTATTTAATCATCACGTGAAATAAGCTGGAGTGTTTAATTTTCAGGTGATACTTTTTGAACTACTGCAACACGCCCAAGCGGTAGGGACTGAGGTGTGTGAATGTAATCTGAAGTATTGTTCATGGAAGGAAATTTTGAAGATTAGTAGACAATTGACAAAATAAGAGTGATTGATGAATGTGGCTTTGGATAGTTAGAAGTTCACATTGTTTCTGTAAGGTATATAAACAATGTATATACAATTTACATACATAGTTTATTAGACAAACAATGGTAAACTAAGTGGAATTTGACCAAGGATAATCCAACAAATCCATCCTATGTTCTAAACTGTTGTGTGAAGTCATTGCTGAGAGGTTAAAGGACTTGGAATTACAACACATAGAATTTATCAACACAATTAGAATCAAAACAAGCGAACAAAGAAATTAAACCAAGAAATATGAAATAAATGACAAACCATTAAATTAGGAAATTAATGACAAGCCAATAAAACAAAAAACAAATAAACGACTGATATATCGAGTATGGCCATGGTGGGCGGGGGAGAGTCAATAATATATGGTACTGGTGGGAGGTCAGGTACAAGAGGCGCCATAATTACCTCATGAGATAGACCAGGTCAAGCGGTAGACATGGCCAGTCTGTGTCTGTGTCTGTAATGCTTCTGAGCTTCGCCTTACACAGGATGTAAGGGGGTGCTCAATAAACTAGTCCCTAGCTGTGTGGGGGGTGGCAAATCTGTCTGTGTCTGAAGCTCTTGTGGGAGGATGGGGGAGTTAGGAGAACAGGATGAAGGTGCGATTTAAGAGAACAGGGTGAAGGGGTTTAGGGGGAGAGGAAAAAGGATTGAATTTAAAGGGATGAACGCAATGAAAGGAAGGAGCTAGGGGGGGTGGGTGGATGTAAAGATGGAGGAAGGGGTGTATTTAAGGGAGAGTAAAGAGGGAGGGGGTATAGAGGGATGCGATATAGAG